CTAAGGCCATTTTTGGTGCTTTTGGGTGGTTGTGAAGCTTGGAAGGAAGGGGAAGCTTGGGAATTCGATTTGGGGCTTGTAGATCCAGAGATCTTATTCCATCTTCAGCTCAATCAAGGTAAATGACCCCTCTTTTTTGGTTTTTCTTTTGGTTGTTCATCTTTAGGGCTTAGATTTTGGGTGCATTTCTGGATTTGTGAAGTGATTCATGGAGATTTGCTTTCAGATTTGAGTTATTGGAGGGGTCTCACGGCATAAAGGTGCCAACTCTATGGCCATGAGAGCCCCATGCACATTGTAGAGCACCTTTTATGGATTTTTTAGCTAAAACCCCATGCATGTGCACCAAGTTTGGAACTTTACATATAAAATGGACATTAGGAGGCCAGATCTATGGTTTTGGTGTGTTAAGGCCCATTTAAATCGACGGCATAGTATTGGTCAAGGATGGACTCGCCGAGTTGTTCTTGGGACTCGACGAGTCGACGCGTAATGACCACCAAATCCATTTTACGAATGGACCATTTGTTAGGGGGAAATTCCTATAGATGTTTAGACGCGAAAAAGGACATGAGAATCCTGGGACTCGACGAGTGTATGAACAGACTCGGCGAGTCCAAGGCAATCTCCCAACCTTTGAAGATGGACTTGACGAGTTGTTCTACAACACGGTGAGTCATAGTCTGGACATGTTCATATGAGGGAGATGAACTCGCCGAGTTGAAGGAAGAACTCGACGAGTCGGATAAAGATATTTACGATAGTTTGAAGGAAGAAGAGCCCATCGAGTTCTTGCTAGACTCGACGAGTGGATTTGAGATTGTATCAGATTAGTGGTGTGTGGACTCGGCAAGTTGGCGGGCCAACTCGACGAGTCAGGTCAACTGGATGTTGACTTTGACCAAGGTTGACCTTGTCTGGCTATGGTATTGACCCTGGTCAGGGTCATATGTTTTGTTCGATGACTTGAGGATTGTCGTGTAGGGATTGAGGAGTTGAGGGGAGCCGACCTTCACATCGGGGGCAGTTCAGATGCTACACGACATCGAGGTGAGTTACCTTCCAGTAGGGGTGGGTCTACGGCCACAATGTCGACCCACCAACAGGGATATTAAATAGATAATTGTCTTTGAGATAATTATCTTGGTTTGGTTATGTGACTTCGTCATAAGATATGCTTGCGTAATATGAATGTTGTGTTAGTGGTAGTGGCATGGAATAGTCTTTCCCTGGCATAGGTCGTTACGACCAATGGGTAGGTCAGTACCCAATATGCCTGACTGTTTGTTTATATCTGGCTATTGTATGCTAGTGGTAGGGGTGAAATAGTCCCCAATTACCGGTTGAAAGATACCGATGGTAGTTACTGGTTGAAAGATACCGATGACAGTTACTGGCTGAAAGATACCGATGGCAGATACTGGTTGAAAGATATAGATGATAGGTACCAGTTGAAAGATACCGATGGCAGTTACCAGTTGAAAGATATCGACGATATTATATGGTATGCGGTAGGATGGGGGAACTCACTAAGCTTTGTGCTCACAGATTTTGGTTGTGGTTTCAGGTACCTCTTCGTCAAAGGGGAAGGAGCCGGCGGTGTAGCAGCGCATCACACACATGATTTCCGCATGGAGTTTTTTGGGATTGTACTCTTATTTTATTACTTTTGATGATATGGTTTTCAGACACGCTGATATTGTTTTTATAAATTGATATGACATTGGAAATGTTTGGTAAATTATGTTATGAATTACTTAATTTAAAATGAAATTTTTGGCCTCGATTTTTGGGATGTTACATATTCTTAGGGAACCAGTAGACAGGTACATTATAGGTAGAAGACGGAGCATTCATGGTGTCTCATCTATAATTTTTGCTATACATTTTGATGTTATACAAACAATATTGCAAACACAATGTAAACACTATGTTATCAATGCAATGGTTTTTGTTACTTTGATTACTATTATTTTAATTGTTGTGATACTGTACATGACGTCCTCCGCCCCCGAACGTTTCTGCCGTCTCTATTTGAGGGTATAACACAAAGACCTTAAAGATCATCGATATTAAGGATCTTAGCTTGGTGGGTTTGACTAGTTCTTTAGGCTTTTATCTTGTTGGATCTCTTCTTCCATTAATTTTTCTAACTCTTCAATTTCATTGTCTTTATCCATAAAGAACACTTCATTTTGAGCTTTAGACTTTTCAAATCTTTCTTTAACTCTGAATGTCATCTTCTCTTCTCCCACTCGCAAGGTAAGATTCAATTCAAGAATATATACAAGGCTCACGCGGTATTAAGTAATGGGCGTCCAAGGATAATAGAAACATCTTCATCCTCTTTCATGTCTATTACCACAAGATCAATTGGAAAAACAAAATTTCCAATTTTACCAATATATCTTCAATTATATCTCGAGGATGAGTTACTGAACGATTTGTCATATGAATTTTCATCCTCGTGGTCTTTAATTCTGGACGGTTGAGCTTTTGGTAAAAAGAATATGGCATTAAATTAATACTTGCTCCAGATTTGCTAAGGCAAATGTTTTCGTGGAATTTCCAAATTCACATGGAAGTGTAAGGCGTCTGGGATCTCCCATTTTCTTTGGTATTCCCTCCATAATCGCCATTGAACTTTTTTCACTAAGAACTACGTTGGAAGTTTTCTCTAATTGTTGATGAGTGTCAAGGAGATCTTGCATAAATTTAGCATATTCGGGAGCGCTGGCTAATAATTCGGTAAATGAGGTATTGATTGAAATACCCTTAACTTGATTCATATTCTTGTTAAGCTCTAATTCTAATGGATGCACTCTAGCTCGAGAAGGAAACGGTAATGGAGGTTGATATGCCTAAATAAAAGAAGAATTTTTCTGCCCAGATCCCACGTCGTGAGGGTTGGTTCCTCACGTCGTGAAAACGATGTTTCAGCTCCATTTTTTTCTTGAATCTTCTTTTTCTTTAGCATTGATTCAGGATACCTTGTGTCTTCTTTTAATGTCTGCAAGAACTTAGAAATAATGTCTTCTTCAATCGATATGGCCATGACATCTGGTTGCACGTAGAAGAAGATATGAATTCTTGAACTAAAATTATTTGCGTGTGGTCACGCTCAACGACAGACATGGCCAGATCCAATGTAGAGCTCGGGGTAGCCCCGGATGCCCCTATTTTTTTTTTCAGTAGTGTAAGTTTTTTTTTCGGAAATTTTCGGTTTAAATGTAAAAATTGTAAAAAAAATGAACAAGTTCATATTAAGGTGCAACCAAGGTCTTATTTCCTTGGTTTGCAATATGTGAATATGTGATTAGTGATACTGTATCGCCTGCGATCTAGTCGTGATTTTCTTTGTGTAGTCTGATGTATGCTTGACCATGGAGTGAACGACCACATGTTGCGGCTGAGTGTTTAGGAAGCTAGATTGAGATAGACCTAAATGACTATTTAGGTTAAAACATTTTTAGCCTATAAGTATTTCACAAGCTTTTTTTGATTGAGGTGTAAAAAAGTGTATACGGGTTAATTCTTTGGGTTTTAAACTGTCACTAGGCTTATAGTCTTTCAAAAAAATAGACTAATAGGAATCTATTTATATTTATTTATTATAACTATTTGCAGATTAATGGCTAACTGCTTACAAATGAATTGCTAAAACTAAATATTATTATAATAACTGATAACTTTTTTAATGTAATTTCTTGTTTTGGATATTTTAAATATGTATCTCTTTGAACTATATTATTACAATTATTACACAGTTTGTTTATTAGGTAGGATCTTACGATCTTGATTTAATATTACGATTACGATTTTACAAATAGAATAATAATCAAGGTAAAATCTTGATCTTAACAACTTTGAGTGCAACCATTACAAAATTATGTCAAACTAATAGTTTATGTTGAGAGAAAAAAATTTGGTGCTACTACTGCTGTAAATTTCTACGTCCGCGCTTATTGGGATACCCTTCCACTTTAACACTGGCTCCGCCATTGACAACAGAGTGCGCCACGCATACTGAAAGTCCACCCAGAATGCGACATGTAGCCCTACGCAAAAATGACATGTCATCACTTCCGATCAAATACGTGGCGCGCAGGACCAGGTGTGCGACGTGTAATCCAATTTCAACTATAAATATGAGTCAAATCTCAGACCATTCTCACACACTCCAAACGTTTCTTTCTCGATTTCTCTCAATTTTAAGACCTTTCTCCCTTAAGGTTTTAGTCGGCGAAGCCCTGCGTTGTTTGATGGCCGTCGATTAGGAGCTCTTGAGTCAGAGTTTTGTCCGCTTAATTCTCAGTTTTCATTAGTGTGCTCTATAAGTTAAGATACACTTATTTTATTTAAGTGTAACTTTTAATTATAATAATAATCGTTATCATGAACCTATAATTAAGATTTATCAATAATTCCGAGTCATTATAATGATGGATCTACTTACGTGGATTATAGAGTTTGTGTGCAACATATGATTTCTGGCCGGTTCTCACCTATGATTTGGCGGGCAGTTGGAATTTGGCATGAAAACAAATAAACAACTAATAAAACTATGTTGGTCTTTAGAAATGATAGAGGAAATAACAAGATACCAAGATTTATGAATTTTATCTACTTGGTTAGATGACAACTCAAATGAAAATGTCAGAGATTAATCTTTTATTCAAATTGCCGTTATCCAAAAAATAGTTATCTATTCCTAGATTGTTGAATGGGTTATTCTTAAAAAGAAAGTCTTTGTACGATGTACACCTTCGTTTCAACGTGTGAAAATCATGATTATGTTTTGTAATTTTTTAGGCAGACAGGTTATTATGTGATAGATGTATTTAACTATTTATGAGTTTATCACTTGATCAATATGATCAATGACTATGCCCCCAACAATAATAAATCTCATAAATAATTTATAACAATGTAAATATCAAAATAGTTATATAAAAATATAGAATATAAGATTGTATTTCTTGGGTAAAGTTAAACTAAATAAACAAGTGAAAAGAAGAGCACCCAACCTGTCCCAATCCTTGCGTGGTAGTTAGCAGTCCAAAATCAAGTTGCAATCAAACTCACATCAACCGTCAGATCAATCAACTCCACGTAATCTTCTCATACATCACACACGCACAATCAATCCACTCCAGATTCCAATCCAACAAAACTATAATCGTAGCCAATAACATGTGGTCATCAATGGCATACCAATTCCACACTACACCCACAACACAAATTCACAAAATCAAACCTTTTCACATCTCCCACTACTAAAATCCCAACTCAAATCGCGAAAACCCCACCATGGGAGTCGTAGAGCAAGCTCACAATGTGAAGATCTTAGGCTCCGGCGACCGGACGATTGTTTTGGCTCACGGATTCGGAACAGATCAGTCGGTATGGAAGCATCTGGTTCCTCATCTCGTTGAAGATTACAAAGTTGTTCTGTATGATAACATGGGCGCAGGAACAACAAACCCAGAATACTTCGATTTTGATCGGTATTCGAGTTTAGAAGGTTATGCGTACGATGTGATCGGCATTTTGGAGGAACTTAAAGTTTCTTCATGTATATATGTTGGTCACTCTGTATCTGCCATGATTGGGGCTGTTGCTTCGATTACTCGTCCTGATTTGTTCTCCAAACTCCTCATGATTTCAGCTTCCCCAAGGTTAGTCAAACTCAAACAGTTTTCGATTTTGGCTTTTGGGTGTCGTTGACTTTTGGAATTTGTTGAATTCATCATGATGTGATTATGATTGAATTTGGATTTAAGTTTAAGTTTGAAAACGTTTCCTGTTTAGGGTAATTTGTTGTTAATTTACTTTTTAACCTAAAAGACTAGCTTTATGTGGTAAGTTTCACACTTCAATCATGTCAACTTTATAATAACTTCTTTCAAGGATTTCGCATCTGTTACAAAATTATTATTGTTTCTTCAACGATCATTTGGTATATATAAAACCGATTGTTGCAGGTATCTAAATGATGTGGATTACTTCGGAGGATACGAACAAGAAGATCTGGATCAACTATTCCAAGCAATGGAGTCGAATTTCAAGGCATGGTGTTCTGGTTTTGCGCCATTAGCAGTTGGTGCAGATATGGAGTGTGTTGCAGTTCAAGAATTTAGTCGAACGCTTTTCAATATGAGACCTGATATTGCGTTAAGTGTTGCACAAACCATTTTCCAAAGTGATATGCGACATTTATTGTGTCATGTCATAACCCCATGTCATATAATTCAGAGCATGAAGGATCTAGCAGTTCCTGTGGTTGTATCTGAGTATCTTCACCAAAACCTTGGTGGTGAGTCTATTGTTGAGGTTATGTCGACTGAGGGTCATCTCCCGCAGTTGAGCTCACCCGATGTTGTAGTTCCGGTGATCCTAAGGCATATTCGGGGTGATATTGTTGTGTAATTATTATTAAACTTGTTTGTTTGATATATTATGGTTGTGTGGATTTTAACTTGTGGATAAAATGGCTTTTTTTATGGATTTGGAATAATATTGTAATTGTGTGGGTGCACGTTTTTGTCTATTTTGGTATTTAAAAGTTTTTAAAAATTTAAAAGCTTTCAACTTTTATTTTTATAGAGTTTTATCATCATAAAAAGGTTTGATTGTAATATGAAATTTTCTTTGTGTTGTGACTAGACAAATTATTGGTTTATAGTTAAAAGAGGAAATCTTGAAAATGAAGTGGTTTCATAAAGATTTACATAATTTATTAAATTTAAAACTTTTGTAATGTATAAGCGTGTTTGGCATGAAACGTTTGAGAGCGTTAGGAGCTTCTAACATCTAGCGTTTGACGAAATATTTTGTTTGAATAAACAACTTTGTTTGGCACTACATGCTTTTAATGTTTAGTTTAAACAAAAAGTTTGAAAACCAAAAACTACTTCACGAAACATTTAACAAAACACTACCAACTATTAGCTAACTGTTATCAGCTACATGTTTGTTTTGTTGAACATGCCCAATGTGGTTTATATTTGTCCAATGTCGAATATTATTGTCGATAGTTGATTCTTCTCCACTTTCTAATATTGCTTCACCATTTTTTTTCTTGTATTTCCTAATATTGGGTTATAATTTGCCGTAACTAAATTCTTTGCATGCAAAAATTCATATTAGATATAGGTTAGAAAGTTAAATACTTAAATTACTAAAACTACTAAGGAATATTAAAACAAACATTCTCAAAATTTACAAATTTATATGAATAAAACATATATCATAGTCAATACAAATGAATCAACTACATTAGAGAGTACAACCAATAAAACCTTTCAAACAATCAATTTCAAGCCACAAGGTGATAAAAAAACCTTAGTTTCCGATGGTTAAACCAATGACCAAATACCTTATCGGAATAAACAAGGTGGGGTGGGTCGTTGGCGACGATACATATTTGTACCTAATTACTTATGTGATGACGGTTTGTTGAAGCACAAATGATTGTAGTAGGGTTTATTATGGGAAGAAAGTTCAAAATGATGCAGGGGAAAAGAAATAATCACCATAATCGTACTGAACATCTGATAGATAAGGTTTCGATCACTCTATATGTTTTGAACTTCCTTATATCCATAGAAACTTAAGATTCGTGGAAACTGTGTGATAAATTAGGCATTGTCGCATACATTTACATTGCACGGAAGTTGTTCAAGTTGGGGAAATGATTTGTGTTTGTTAGATTTTAAAGGTGAAAGATCTAGATGATCTCGTTTAAAACGAATGCAATGTATAGTTGGAGAATTTCCACATGTTTGCATCTATTGCTAAGTGTTACAGGAATGAAAAGATGCAATCATTTAATAGTAACATTAATGGTACTTTGTTTGATCCAAACATGAAGAAACAACAGCTTGGAAGACGAGCATAAGGAAAGGAGTCAACAAGAAGGAGAGAAATCATTTTTGGGTGTTCTTATTGGATAGAAGGTAAGTGATCAACCAAAAACAGGTGGAACAAATGAAAAAACTATGACATTGTCGATAGGTGTTTTGTTGAAAGTACTGGATATTTAATGTGTTATCTTAACTGTAGTGAAAGATATTTTTGTGATTGAAAATCTATGTACTATTTTAAAGTAAGAAAGGTTCCATAATACGGAGATAAATTATGTGAGAGATGCATGAGTATGGTTGGAATTGAAGACAAAGAAAGCATGTAGTAAATTTAAAAACTCATGAGGCATTTTAAGTTATATTTCTTCACTTTCAGATGGTAAATAAGGAGTTCATCACTGAAGAAAGGTTTATATGAATTAAGATCGATGGGCTCCCTTTAGTTGCATGGTCGTGGTACTTTTAAACAAGTTACCAGTAATTAGGGTTTGTTACTTTTTATTAATGAAGATCAAGAAGAGGGGGTGTCTATTGATAGGGTTTGCATTAAAATTTCAACTCTAATAATGGATTACATTATAATGATGATTGATGGAAAATGTTATCATATGCGTGTAAAGGAGGGTGCCTCGTAGGTTCCACCAATGAATAAGGATCATTTAAAGACATTTTCTAAAGGAAATATTCATGAAAAACACATGGGAGATATAAACGTTGAGGATAAATGTAATAACCCAGATTTTTATCCGTTACCGATGTTAGTGTTTTGTTATGTTTTATTCTTAAACTAACATTTTCATTTGATTAAATTTATCTTTGGGGGGCCAAAATGTAATGATCTAAACCTTGATTATATATATGCAGGTCTATGAGTCATTTTGTGATACTTTGAGGGACAATTATAGAAGTTATGGGCTATTTAAGTGAGGCTAACCCTAAAATCCAGGATTCACATCATCTTTTTAGCCAACAAATCCTATTTCCAACCTTCGTCTTATTTTGAGGGAGTTCCTAGTGTCCTTACCATTTATGGAGTGAGTGAATGAATCTAGTGAATAAGGTATGAATATTGAAGCATTTTTAGAGGATTCTTAGTGGTGTTATTGGACATTTTTTCCTTCTAGTGGTTCTATTGGAATCATATCAGAATTTTCAAGTGGTTTAAATAAATTTCTTACCATACATCTCTACTTTCAAGTCCTTGTCTTAATCCCTGAAGTATTTGGTGATGTTTGTCAAAAGTTAGAAATCTGGACAAAAATGTTGACCTATCTTATGAGAGGTGTAGAGGCCATTCTGGGCCTAATTGGAGAAAATCACCTCAAGGACAAAGTTGGGTAATTAGTGTTAACTTGATAATTGGTTGCTATGTATGCTTTTAGGGGTGGTCTTGACAACCTCAAATGAGTTTACTCCTTGGAGCGAACGTAGGCCTTCATTTGGGTGAAGGCGAATCTTTCTTTGTAGTCGTTTTGGTCCATAAGTTGGAATATACATGTATTGTTTCAAGTATTTTGGTCTAGAATCTTATGTGTAGTGATATAGTCTAACCCTCTCTGAAATATGAGTAGTGTGACATGTTACTTGTTAATAAAATAAATTGACTAGGGTGATGGATATGGTAGTTACATGGAATGTTGACTTATGCATGTTTTGAGTGGTTAGGTTCATGCTAGAAGTGAGGAATGAGGTTTTTTGTGTTAATGAAGAGTTATACATGATATGATCTTGTAATTTTTTTTTTGAAATTAGGAAATGCATGCTAGAAAGTATGTAGATAAAAGATGTATTTCATTACATGCTTTTGAATGATGATATGTGGTGGTTTTGATTATATGCTTTGGTAGTATGACTTGTGATGTATTATGACTTGAATTATTAAGTTAAATACAAACATGGATAGATAATGTGGATGGCGAGGTGTGTATACCCTATGTGAGTGAATTAAATAATTAAAGATAAATTAAAAAACGGGAATGCACATAATGTGTGAATACCAAACGTACGACACGGAACATGGTACCAAGATGCATTGGTGTACGGGGACTGGAGTGATGTTCGTTACACGTAGATTTCAAATCAAGCATCACATTTGAGTGGGGTTATAAGTGAGTAAATACCTAATCTACCACTCTCGAACAACGACACATCATACTTGTACATGTATCATCATATTAATGAATGCAGTGAATCTGGGGTAATGTTACAGGAAAGAGTCGTGCCTGACCTAGTGCATTGGGTTGTGTCGGTCATGTTAGTAGCGAATGAGGTCTTCTACATGGTAAATTAGATATGATTAGACCCATGATAGCAATGGACATAGGGTAATTATAACGATAGAAAAGAAGTTACTACGACAAAATGTCAATAATTAATATATTCATAATATTTTGATAATAATAAGTGGTGAATGATGATTGGTCTATATATATATATATATATATATATATATATATATATATATATATATATATATATATATATATATATATATATAAGTTTCCATACGTGTGTACTTGAGATTGACTTACTATACTGATCCTGACACTTGTTTCTTTGTTTTGTTGTTTTGGCCTTTCATTCGTACAAATAGCTTGATTTGATGGCTTGATGAAGTTGGGGTCACTTTTAGGGTAGTTACTTTTAGTATTATTTTAGTGATGATATTGCTTTAGGCATGTCATGATGCAACACCCGTAGATTCAGTCTAGTGAATTAAGGTATCTTAAGCATTAAAAATGACTTTTTGATATAAGGTTATTTAGGATAAATAACCTTAACCAAAGTCATAAAAGGATTCGGTAAATATAAATAACATTGAAATCCGACTTCGTATGACGAAGTTATGTTTCTTCGAAGTTTTGTGATTAAACCAACACGACTCTGTGTAGCGTAAAAAATATAAATTTGATAAATTACTTTTTAGCCTTAGTGATAGAAACAAAAGTCATAGTAGTCGTTAAATCGAGAGCGTGCTTACAGAGAACATCTAAATTTGACTTTGTGAGAGGAAGTTATGATTTTTTGAAATTTCAACGCAAAATTGTGGGGACAGAAATAAAAATTCTAAATGATTGACTGTTAGCCGAAAAAAACTAAATGAGAATTGAAGATCTCATGAATATGAACCCGTCGATAAAAAGATAGGAGAGAACGAAGTTTGTATGAAGGAGATATGAATTTCTCATGGACTTTAAAAATGTAAACCTGTCTAAATATGAATTTTTGTTAGAGAAAGAATTAGATATTGAGGCTTTAATGAAAGTTGTAGAGCTAGTCGAGAGGATTCTGGGAATATAAAGAAAGTAAAAAATCGAGCTCGTATGCTAAAATTATAGCTATACAAAGATTTCAGGAAAATAACTGTGCTAATGAGGTCGCACATTTTGGAGGCGACATGTGTCCTGGTCCGCATCCAACTCTCCAACAGCATGATGATGTGTCACCCCAAAAATATGATATGTGACAACACAAAAGTAGACCATGTGGCAGCTTTCTAGAAGGAGTGAGGTGGACTGATCTAAAGGTGACACTTGGCGGACACTTAAAGGAACATCGTCAGCATTAAGGCGTGGCGTGCCTATGGTTGGTACGTGGCGCGCACCCTTGAATCCTATAAATACCCTTCAAAAAAATTCCTATTTTCTCACAGTTTTCTTCTAAACACTATCAAATCCTCTCTAATTTCTTAGATACAACTTTTATTTTGTAGTTTTACGATATTTTAGTATAAACTCCAGAG